TTCCCCTGCCCGATCAAGTTGCCCTACTTGCCCTTGAAGACCGTTTAAAAATTATAAGAACTGCCCCAAACGTACAAAAATCTGTTCCCCTGCCCGATGCAACTGCCCTACGTGCCGCTTGAAGACCGTTTGAATATCATAAGAACTGTCCCAAACGCACAAAAATCTGTCCCCCTGCCCGATCAAGTTGCCCAACTTGCCGCTTAGAGACCGTTTGAAAATTATAAGAACTGTTCCAAACGTACAAAAATCTGTCCCCCTGCCCGATGCAATTGCCCTACGTGCCGCTTGAAGACCGTTTAACTGCCGCACTGAAGAACTGCCGCAAACGTACAAAAATCAGTTCCCCAGCCCGATCAAGTTGCCCTACTTCCCCTTGAAGACCGTTTGAAAATTATAAGAACTGTCCCAAACGTACAAAAATCTGTTCCCATGCCGGATCAAGTTGCCCTAAATGCCGCTTGAAGACCGTTTAAAAATTATAAGAACTGCCCCAAACGTACAAAAATCTGTTCCCATGCCGGATCAAGTTGCCCTACATGCCGCTTGAAGACCGTTTAAAAATTATAAGAACTGCCCCAAACGTACAAAAATCTGTTTCCCTGCCCGGTGCAATTGCCCTACGTGCCGCTTACACACCGATTCCTAGTTGAAATCACCAGCGGGACCCATTAACAAGCAAAAGCAAGGCTGTTATTAGATAAACGTTTCCAAAAGTACCAGCGAGACCAAGTTACTCACGCACTCTCTTGTCTACACGTGGAAGCAAGACGATCCTAAAGTGACTGTTCTTAGTTAGAGCATTTTTACAATGGGAACTCAGATGAATTTAGCTCAAGTCACGCTGTTACGCAATTTGGCATCATTTCAAAAGCAACTAATAGGAGTACAACATATTTGAAAGACACATTCTGGGATAGCAAGCTCGAAAAAAAAGCAGCTACAAATAACCACCCGGACACCCGGACACTGGCGACCCAGTCTCAAAATCATTGCGACCTCATGATTGCCTTTCGAAATACGTGTGACCCTTTTACGAAAATATGCTTGGCCTTGGCAGCGTTCCAAAACGCATGCCACTTGGCGGCAATTCAAAGACAAAGACCAGTGTATTTCATCATAATTTCTCCGTCTGCTGCCTCCTCGTTTGCCATGTTCCACGGACCAGGGGTGTTAATGGGTAAACAACGATTCCAAAATATATTACGTAGTGATATATATATATATATATATTAGGTTGGTTCGAAAGTTCTGTCCCACCATTTTTGAAAAATCATAACTTCTTTCTTACACAATGTTTTTGCAAGAATAAAAAAATTATTGGAAAGTGCAATTTACGCACTTTCCAAAACTGCCTTGGCTGCTATCTACTAAGCTGGCTACGCAGAGATAAAATTAGGAAAAGGAAATCACTTCAAGTTCGCAATTTTCAAGCAAGCCCGTTAAAAAATCCAAAAACGTGCCATAAAATCCAAAACAGGCAGTACCCTATGTTTTCTGATCCCTTCTTTTTATGTGAGCAAAGTTCGCGTTAATCGAGCACTTCTTAGAAAAGTTATGATTTTCGAGAAAAAATGCCAAAAAATCGGTTCTTTAAGAAAATTGATTTTTTGACATTTTTTTCAAAATACCATATCTTCCAAAGGAACAGCTCGATCAGCGCGAATTTTGCTCACATAAAAAGAGGGGATCAGAAAACCTAGGATACTGATTGATTTGGATTTTATGGCATGGTTTTGGATTTTTTAATGGGGTTGCTCAAAAATTCCGAACTTGAAGTGATTTCCTTTTCCCAATTTTATCTCTGCGTCGCGAGCTTAGTAGATAGCAGCCAAGGCAGTTTTAGAAAGCGCATAAATTGCTCTTTCCAATATGTTTTTATTCGTGCAAAAACATTGTATTAGGAAGAAGTTATGATTTTTCAAAAATGGTGGGACAGAACTTTCGGACCAGCCTAATATATTAGGTTGTCCCGAAAGTTTTGTCGGTTTTTTCAAACCACTATAAAACCACGCACAATTAAGACTTGAATGAGCTTCAACATGCATTCGATGCAGCTTCGCCTTCTCTTTCTTGTGGACACGTTCTCGAGCCAAAACCCTTTATGCTTTTTCTGATAATTGCTAAAATTCTTCACCCGTCGTTTTTATGCGCTCAAAACTCGGCTAATTTTTTACAATTTCGTTTCAGGGTTCCGAAGAATTTTAAGTATGGTTTAAAAAGAGCAATTCTCGGACTATATGGCAGTATTTTTAGGTTCTTCTAATCTGCTGTTTTTAGCTCTAAAAAATTATTTCTTTGAAAGTCTCGATTTTTGGCAAAGTCATGAAACGCGCAACTGCAGCAAAAACGTGAAAGCTTTCAAAGTTTTTGCGAATTGAAACTTGTTTGTTATTAAACATTATTTATGCAACATAACCAAGTTTGATTTGCTTCAAAAATCTGCTTTTTGGAATTTTCGGTACTTTTGCGTGCTAGACGTAATCAAAAAGCCGCGGTTCTTATTGAACAATTAATTATAACGGAATGGGTAAACGTGGCCCATGTAATCTAAAATGGTTTAAATGTAGCCAAAGGTCTGCTCTACGTAACAGTTACCAGTGCTCTTTGGAAACATCAGGATAAAAATTTTTAAAATTCAGGAAAGATTTGGCGTTACTGATGGACTGCTCAAAAGCCATGGCGATAACATTGCAAAGACAGGGTAGATCAGAAAGCAAACATAGCTATAAGAAAGAGGTTAAAAATCTGAGTCAAATGGTACCTAAGTCGTCCATGGAATGTTGTTGTGTGAGTTTTAGTGAGCGATGAAAAAAACGGACAAAACTTTCGGGACAACCTAATATATACGGGGTGTCCCAAAAAATGTGCACACTGTTTGATTTTAAATAACTCCCTTGTAGTGAAGTGTTTCGAGAAGCTCTAGGTACCATTTTGTAGAGCGAGGTTCAGCTTAGATTTACAGTGTAGAGCGAATCGCCTCGCTCATTCTTACTGTAGGAGTACGGTAGAAACTTCAAACATATGGTGTCACTGTGAAAAAAGCGGCCGTTTCAAAAATTTTCAAAAAAAAAATGTGGAAATGTGTGTAATAGGGTTTTTATGGACCCTGAATTCAATACCCAACTACAAGGTTGAGAAGCT